CCAATTGACAATTCAATTGAATTTTATATTTATTTTATTCTTAACTACAATTTTGAAATATTGTTCGAAAAAGTAAAAATTTTTTTTTGTTTTGGTTAACATTCTGATTCTTTTTTTGTAAAGCATAAAATAGAAGAAAATTTTATTTTTATTATTCTACATTTTTATTTTAATAATTCTACGGTTACCTCGGTTTTCTTGGATTGTTTCCAAAATGTGTATTTAATTACATAGTCACAAAAAAAAATATTTTTTTTCTAGCCTACGTGTCAGACTATGTTTATCATATGGATGATATACCAGAAAGTGGTCATTTTAGAGAAATTTTTTTTTGTAATTAGAAATTTGATTTCTTTTATCAATTTCTATTAAGAGCATTTGAACCTTCGTGACGTCACAAATCATGGCGCATGACACGCAAACTTCTCAGGTATGTGACAAGCACAATTTTGAATATTTTTTAAAAAAACCTTTTGGAAAATGTTCAGAATAACATAGACTCTGTCTGTTATGTGCGGAAAATTCAAAATTTTGCGTTTAAAACGTTTTTTAAACAAGGTTAAGGTCACAAATCATGGCGCATGACACGCAAACTTCTCAGGTATGTGAAAAACACAATTTTGAATATTTTTTAAAAAAACCTTTTGGAAAATGTTCAGAGAAACATAGACTATGTCTGTTATGTGCGAAAAATTCAAAATTTTGCGTATAAAACGTTTTTTAAACAATGTTTAAGTTGGTTGTCACAAGTAAGGAAAAATACACGAATTGCTTATATGTAGGCCATTTTTGGAAAGACCAGGATAAAAATTGGAAAATTCTTATGTAATTTATCAAATATTTAAATTAATTTTATTATAAATAATAATTAAAATTGTTTATTACTAATTAAACAATAAATTGTTGTTGTTTATTTACTTTTTTCAAAAAAAAAAACATACAAAAATGCAGTTTTTTCATAATTTCGCTATTTGCAAATTTCAAAGTTGTGAAAAATACTTGTTTAAAAATTGAATTATTCTTCAATTTTTTAAATAAATAATTATTTAATACTTCTTATGTTTTTTTCAAAAAAAACCCTGCAAAAAACAGTTTTTTCTTAACTTTGAAATTTACCAATTTAAAAATTGTGAAACGTAATATTTAAAAATTGAATTAGTTTTCAATTTTTTAAATCGCAATAATTATTCTTTTTTATTAAAAAAACACATATAAATTGCATTTTTCATAAAGCACTTTTAAAAAAGCAGTTTTTGGAGAATTTTTCAAATCACTTATCTCAATGTTGTAAAAAATAATGGCTAAAAAGCAGATTATTCTTCAATTTTTTAAATAAATAATTATTGTTCTTCATATAATTTTTTCAAAAAGTACATATAAAAAAGCAATTTTTTGACAATTTTTTAAATTGCTATTCTCAATATTGTAAAAAAAAGAGATTAAATTTTAAATTGTATTTCAATTTTTCAAATAATGAATTATTGTTTTTTATCTTTTTTTCAAAGGAGGACATATAAAATAGCATGTTTTTTAGAATTTTTAAAATTACTCATCTCAATGTTGTAAAAATGGTTGAAAATTCAATCATTTTTCAATTTTTTAAATAAAAAACAATAATTATTTAGTTGAAAAATTGAAAAATAAATTGGTTTTTTGGCCTTTATTTTTTACAAAATTGAGATGAATAATTTAGAAAGCTGTCAAAAAAATGCTTTTTTGTATGTTTTTTTTTGAAAAAAGTAAATAAACAACAACAATTTATTGTTTAATTAGTAATAAACAATTTTAATTATTATTTATAATAAAATTCATTTAAATATTTGATAAATTACATAAGAATTTTCTAATTTTTATCCTGGTCTTTCCAAAAATGGCCTACATATAAGCAATTCGTGTATTTTTCCTTACTTGTGACAACCAACTTAAACATTGTTTAAAAAACGTTTTAAACGCAAAATTTTGAATTTTTCGCACATAACAGACATAGTCTATGTTTCTCTGAACATTTTCCAAAAGGTTTTTTTAAAAAATATTCAAAATTGTGTTTTTCACATACCTGAGAAGTTTGCGTGTCATGCGCCATGATTTGTGACCTTAACATTGTTTAAAAAAAGTTTTAAACGCAAAATTTTGAATTTTCCGCACATAACAGACAGAGTCTATGTTATTCTGAACATTTTCCAAAAGGTTTTTTTAAAAAATATTCAAAATTGTGCTTTTCACATACCTGAGAAGTTTGCGTGTCATGCGCCATGATTTGTGACGTCACGAAGGTTCAAATGCTCTTAATTGGCTTCAAATAAATACTTTAAGTGATCATGCCAAAAAAATTATTTTATAGGAAAACTTTTACTGATAAAGTATTTTCAGCCGGCAAAGTAAAACGGGAAACTAACCTCAATTAGATATTCAGAGGCATATATCCACAGGGTACTAAAATAATTATGTATCTCCTTCTAATATGTATTATATTTTACATTATTTGCATTATTTTTATCGTATTTTTGAATTATATATAAATAATTACATAAAGTGTAAAAAATATCACGTTTATTATTTATTTTAAAGAAATTTAAAGGCACGAAAGACACACACTATTTTTTTGCTTCGCACCTGCTTTGTAAAATGTCTGCTGGTGGCAATTATAGGTTATGGAGACGCTTGCTTTTCACTGAACGGTGAATACGTCGAACAGACAAAATGTCGAAAAGCCAATACGTCGAACTGACAAAATGCCGAAAGGCCAATACATCGAACAGACAAAATGTCGAAAAGCTATAACCTCGAAAAGCCAAGACGTCGAACAGCCATAACCTCGAAAAGCCATAACCTCGAAAAGCCAATACGTCGAACAGTCAATACATCGAACGGAAAAAATATCGATAAGCTAAAATATCGAAAAGCCAAAACATCGAACAGCCAATACGTCTAACGGACAAAATGTCGAAAAATTTTATTGACTCAAGTATAATTATAGTTAAGTCAATAGAATTTTTCGACATTTTGTCCGTTCGACTTATTGGCTGTTCGATGTTTTGGCTTTTCGATATTTTGGCTTATCGATATTTTTTCCGTTCGATGTATTGACTGTTCGACGTATTGGCTTTTCGAGGTTATGGCTTTTCGACATTTTGTCTGTTCGATGTATTGGCTTTCCGACATTTTGTCAGTTCTACGTATTGACCGTTCGGTGAAAAGCAAGTGTCTCTAGGTTATGACATACGAAAATTTTACAAAATCTCTTGCTACGTAAGTTAGAAATAAAAAAAAATACTTGTCAGTAAGTTTTGTCCTGCTTATCTTTAAGTTTTTATGGATTTTAGACAGCTGCTCGTATGTTAAAATACTAAAATTGTCACGTGTGCTATGGCATCCGGTTTTCTTTAATTTCCTGATAAGTTGATGATAAAAAGTAGTGCTCTCTTCATAGTTTTTTAATAACAGTTCATCTAATGCCGTGACCGCATACACACAAAAAAACTGAACTAAGAATGAGCCGTGTAGGCGACTCATTTTGATATGCAACAAAAATAAACCAGGTTGGCGGCGCCACTGTCTATGTCGTTTAGCATTGGCATTACTCCATTGTGTCAAATTTTTGACATAACCTCAAAAAAATTTCACAGCTAAAAAAAAATTACCACCTAAGAGTCAGACTATGTTTATTACGATTTTTTTAGTGTACCTCAAAAAGCTTATAATGGGGTGAAATGAATCTGGAATTTGATTTTAGCGATTCCAAAAACATATCTAGTAAACATGGTTTCATTTCCATGTAAGAACATTTTTTTATGTTATTGTTTGTAAATATTTGTTATTATTTTATTTATGTTATTATTTGAACAATTACTTAAAAAAAAATTTTAATTTTATTTTCACAAATTTATTATCATTGTAACGATGAAAATAAAAGTAATAAAATTAAATTAGTAAATATTAAGAAAAATTACAATAAAGATAATATGATGAGAGCAATCATGAATATATGTAAAGTAGAAGAAAAATATAATTTTCCTGCTTTGGACTTTCGATTGAGATAAAGTTACTTTTCAATGGTTCATTTGATATTTTTGATTTATTATTATTAATGAAAAGTGACGATAATAAAGGCAAAGATTAAATTTAAAAAAAAAAAATATTTTAAGTCTTTTTCGCTCTCTATTATTATCATTCCTCTTTTGAAATTTTCCATTTTCATCACTGCTCTATTTTATTAAAAAATTTCTTTTCATTTTTGTGATCTAATATTCTGAGAAATTTTTTATTAAATAAATAGAATTTATTAATAATTTATAATAATAATATGAAAAATAATTATGATATTAAAAAATAATTTTAATTTTTCATTAAAAAAATAAATAAATATTTGCTTAAATAATTAAGCATTTTTTATATCTGAAGTATGTATTTTTAATTTTAAGAATAAGCTTTACTTTGTACAGTCAACTCTCGATAAGTCATAGTCGAAGGGAGATCAAAGAAAACTTTGAGTTATCAAATATTGATGATTTTATACTATAGTATAAAAAAAAGTAACTCTAAAATGCGTTATAAACAACATTTTAAATTTAAGTGTTAAAATAAATTTTCATTATTAAACATTTTTAGAGAAATAAACAGTCAAAGTTATTTGATTTTTTTCTTTTCAATGATTCTCTGTTTATAAAATTATCAATTGCATGCAAAGCAGAAAAGATGTCATCGGGAACATTGGCTTGTTCTTGCGAGAGTGAAATATATATAAAGTTTTTTTGAATTAAATAAAAATAAATATATTTTGTCACAAGAGCTATTTTTTTATAAAATAAAGATTTTATTATTTTTTATTTATTTTGTAAAATGAAAAATTTCATTTGAAACTTTTCTGTTTTTATGTGGAGAGGCATAAAAAAAATTTTTATTGTAGTATTAAAAGAATTAAAAAAAAAAATTAAACAAAAAAAGTACATGTATAATTATAAAGATTAATAATCGATAATAGTGAATAAAAATGTTCATACCTCGCGGAAGACTTTTGATAAAGAATTGAATTAATTGGTCCTGTTTATGAGAAATTCAATTTTTTCTTTTTTTATTTCAAATGTCACTTGTCAAAAAAATTATTTGTCGCGTGCGCTTCAATAAAATTAACGTCTAATATCCGCGCGAGTAACTTGGAAATTCTACAACAGAGATCGAAGGCGTGCGCGGCCAGACTGACAACGCTTTCATTTTGATTCTCAAACGGAGAACGTGAACCGCTTCTGGATATATAATCATAGCAAAGGCGCATGATCGGTTTTTTGTCATTTTTGTTTATTTATTTTTTGAAGTTCTTTGACCTCAATTTTATTGTCAACTAAAGGTATTTTATATTCCAAAATACCATAACTATCAATTTCCGCGCTTTCTGAAATAATAGTTTTTAACTCCGAAAATATTGTGCTGCTGTGTGTACTTATATATATATATACACTCGTACTGATTTATATCCCAAAACATTCCTTAAATTCTCACCCAAATGCCTCGTGAAATTATGTCGACGATAATTCAACAGTTTCGTCTGAATATATAAATTTTCACACAACGTGACGAGAAAACCGTAAAAAATTATTCTTTATAGACGTTACACAATAGAAGTAAAAAATACTCTTCATTTGAGAGAAATAATTTTTTAAAGAAGAAAGTTCTCTAAAATTGATTGTGCGCTTTATACCTTTTAATAATAAAATATATTGTAAAGAAAAAGTATGGAATTAAAATGAAATGAATCCTCTCAAATTAAGAGTACTTTTTTTTTAAATAAAGAACGATACTTTATAAAAGTTCTAAAATAATTATTCTTTTTTTAATTAAAAAAAAATTATTAAAAGAAAGTAGAGGAAATTAAAATTTTATTTAGTATGCAAGAAAAAGTAGGTAATTTGTCTAGATTAAAATCTTATTGATGAAATATTTAGAAGGCGATAACCTATGTATTATGTCTCCCGCATTTATGCTTTATATATATATATATATATATATGTAGTACACATTTCTTTTCGCCAATGAGACGATTGAATATTGCGTAAGTCTGCATAATCGCACGTGACTGGCTTTGGAGAAAGGAACATACGATGCGAAAAGAGATAAATGGAAAAGAAAGGAATAGTCAAAAAAGATTACAGATTTGTCATTCTATACATATCGTATACACAAATAGAAATTGAATTTTTAAAAATTTCTTTCGTAAATGGATGATTTTCTGCGTAGCATACATTTTAGTTATTGCTGTTATTCATTTTTTTACAATTTAACAAAAATTAAATTATAATCTTCAAAGTTAGTGCTGTATTTTTTTTTCACCACTTCCCTCACAATAACAATTTGCTGAAGGTCAATTCTTTTTATGAAAAAAAAACAATAAAGTTTAATCCTTCCAACACTGCAAAAAGAAGTATCTTATTATAAGATATACATTGGAAGCAAGTTACCAAAAGTATCTTCCTATCCATCTAATATCTTAAGAAACTAATGCATTTTAAGTTATAAAAAACATCTTAAAAAGGCGACCAAAACATCTTAAAATAAGATACTTCTTTTTGCAGTGAAGATTGTGTCTTTTCTGTATAGTGTGCAGCAAAGTAATAAAAAGTGTACAGAAAAGTAGATGCGCATGTGCAATAGGCTGCTTGGTTATACTAAGCAGAAATCAGTCACTTTGTGCTGCACTCATATTAAAGTAAAGAATCGTTTTGCTTCCAGATGTTATACAAAATAAGTTTTTTGTAGACCACTATAATCAGGGCAAAAAAAATTTGTTTTTTTTTATTTATTTGTAAACTTTGAAATGATTCCTTTTTCAACCTTTATTTCTTACCAGCAATAGTTTTCGGCTTTTCAGCCTCAATCCTCTCTCTCGCTGCCTTTTCTGCATCTTCCTTTTCCTTTTTAATTCTTTGTTCTTTTTCCTCTTTCGTTTCTATTCCCATAATTTTAAGTAGAAAAGAAGGAAGATAATTTTGAGAGAAAGTTATTATTCTATTATATAATAGAAATGTTACGAGTGCCGAAACACCATTTGATATTACCAAGATCAAGACAAAAATTATAAAAATATTCATTATTTATCTTTTTATATAATATATAAATATTAAGAAAATGTTTACGTTTACTCTTATTAATACTATAATTCTTTACATGATAGAAGGAAGAAATTTTATATCACAACCAATATCATATTAGAAATACACAATTTCGGACCTATTCAACGAAAATGTGTTTCTGAAATAAATTTTGACGCTGAATTCGAATCCGCAGTCCGTTAGAAATAAAAAATGTTAAAACTGGAATTAAATTTTATTCTCTATTCCGATTTTGACTTTATGGAAAAATTAGTTTTTAGTCTGTTTTCACTTTATATGGAATAACCTACATCAACTTTTATTTTGAATGATTCATTAATAGGAAATTTAGATTATAATTTTAATTAAATTAAAAATCACTTCTAAACAAATTTAATATTTTTGCTGGGCGCCATGTTGTCGTTTAACAACAACATGAAGTCATAATATGTGACCATATGTGACTCCAAAATTTTATGCTAGCTCAATTTAGTAAGAAAAAAGCGGAGAGGTGAGGGTCAGGAAAATCACTAAAATCAGTTTAAAATTTTATTCATTTAATTAATTTATTATAACTCGTGTCAAATTTTTGGAATCGTAATCGCTTATCAGCTACCTCTCTTTACGGTGAGTCTCATATCAATTAAAATCAATAATTTCATTAAAATTACATGAATAAATTATTTGATTGTCGGTAACAGTATAGTTATAGAACTTATAAATCAAATGAATTTGTTGTCGATGATCTGACAAATTAGTGGTTTTGACCGCAAGTTTATAAAAAAATTAAATAAAATCAAATAAAAAGAATTGGATAAGCTGGAGTGGGATTACGAATAGCAACAGCGCTACGAAGATTTCGCTACGTAGCGATTTAAAGCTACATTCACTTAAAAAAAAATTTTAGTTACTGGGTGACTCAAAAAAATTGTATCACTTTCACAGATTTAGGTTAGCACAACTGTTTCGCTGGTAAAATTCAAAGATAGAAATAACATTGCGAATACTTTTTGAAGCGGAAAGTATAAAGTTAAAAATTATGGATTCAGGTTAAATTTATTCGAATAATCAAAATGTTTAATCAAATAATTTTTTTAAAATTATTTTATTGTAAAGTAATAGTTGGCAAACATGAAGTTAGAGAATTGTTTCCACCTTCGTGTAATATTGGTTTGCTACGTAGATAAAATATTTTAGGAAATTGACATGAATTCTATATGTCAAAGGTCTTATTTTTGACATCATTTAGAACAAATTTCACTAAAAATATGTAATTTTTTTAACTCTAAATAGCGAAAAGCGCTATATAGCGACTAGCGTTATTCGTAATCCCACTACTGAAGGCTTGATTCTCGTTATGGCATATCCTTTACTTTAATATTTTTACTTTTATAATCAAATAATTTAATTCATTTCTTATTTGTACACAGCAACCAAACTTATTTGGTTACCAGAAACGGAAATCTATTTTAGCAAGATAGTTTGTTTGAATAAATCGTACTTCCAAATAAACTAACCAAACATTTTTTGCTTGTACATGTGATCTATTCGAAGTGATAATGTAAATACAATTGATTTTTTACTACTTATATTGATCACGCTTCAGCTTCACATTTATTCTTCCTTAATGTAAAAAAATCTAAAAAAAAAAAATTTTGATTCATTTAGGTATTATGTATTTTTTTAACTTTTACATTTTAATTTTTTTTAACGAATTTTTATGTTCAACCTTTAGTACTTCATTCTTACTTTTTAATTGTTGCTTCCTTAACTGTAATTATCAGGAGAATTATAGTAATTACAGTCAACATTAGGAGAATAAATATCCGTAAAATGTTTGCTACATTTTCAGTATTAAATTCCATTATTGTTTATATTTTATTTATTTTATAGAAAGAAGTAGAGAAATATCTATTTTTTAAAAATTTATTCTTATTAATAAGACTTGACATATTTGAAACGCATTTATATTCCCTTCATTAGACCTGTCGGGATTTTTGTAGTATCAAATTAAAAATTATAGAATTATTATTTAGCTGAATTTTATAAATTAAATTTTATAACGAGCAAAACAATACCCGCGTGATAATCGAACTATGGGTAAAATATTATGAAAACCATGGGCGAAATTGATTGCTAAGCTAAGAACGCTTCGACTTATGGTTTAAACTATGGGATAAATCTCAAGAACCATTACTTATGTCCGTTCTCCATGGTACAATTACCATTATTCGTACTTATAGACCATTGCTAAAATATTGAAAACCATGGGACATTTAAAAAAAAAATTTTATTTTTGACCATTCCAATCTTGTAAACCACGGGAAAATTAATTTTTTAATTTTACTGATTTTGGACCATTGTTAAAATCCTGGAAACAATGGAAAAATTAATTTTTTAATCTCAAGAACTTAGACCATTACATTTTTTGACATAATATATAAATCAGGGTTTTTGGTGCCACTGATTACAAATCTTAGGTCAGTTTTTAAATATACAAAATAACTGATTCAATATTGCATACAAATAGTTAAAAAATTAAATTTAGTTTGTTCTAATCTTAAGTCTGAAATTAAAAGAATTAAGTTTTCTGTTTGCATGCTCGTTAATAATTATTTAAGTTTTTTATGTTAATGTTAGTGAATTACAAAATAAAAAATTAAACTTTGTAACCAATGATTTTTAATGATGCTGAATGTTGAAACAAAATCAATTAATTAAAACAAAGTTACAAAGGGAAGACTCGAATAAATTGTTTGTTGGGCGCCAGTCCTTTCTTGGGACAATTAAATCAAAATTATTCTTGATTGTCAAATTAGTCTGCATTCTAAATTTGAATCAGCTAAAATCCGCTGATTGGCAGCGAATAGTCGCTGTTTGAAAAAGCTATAAGTATGCAGCTGTGAATCAGCGACTAACAACTATTTCAATCAGCGGAATACTCCATTTTAAAAATAAATTTATCTTCAGACGAAAATGACCGATGTTCGCCGATTCGTGTTTCGCTATTTTATTAGCTGTATCCGCTGATTTGCAGTGAAAACTTTATTCGCTGATTCAAACAGTGAAATTTTAGCTAATTCAAATTTAGAGAGTGAAGAGTACACACGGCCATCAGGCT